GAATGGAGGCCCTATGTCTAAAAATCTCAACTAGGGATTGGAGCACTATGTTGGCAAAAGACGACTAGGGAATGGAGGCCCTATGTCTAAAAATATCAACTAGGGATTGGAGCCCTATGTTGGAAAAAGGCGACTAGGGAATGGAGGCCCTATGTCTAAAAATCTCAACTAGGGATTGTAGCCCTATGTTGGCAAAAGGCGACTAGGAAATGGAGGCCCTATGTCTAAAAATCTCAACCAGGGATTGGAGCCCTCTTTTGGCAAAAGGCGACTAGGGAATGGAGGCCCTATGTCTAAAAATCTCAAACAGGGATTGGAGCCCTACGTTGGCAAAAGGCGACTAGGGAATGGAGGCCCTATGTCTAAAAAACTCAACCAGGGATTGGAGCCCTATGTTGGCAAAAGGCAACTAGGGAGTGGAGCCCCTATGTCTAAAAAAATCTCAACGAGGGATTGGAGCCCTATGTTGGCAAAAGGCGACTAGGGAACGGAGGCCCTATGTCTAAAAATCTCAACTAGGGATTGGAGCCCTATGTTGGCAAAAGGCGACTAGGGAATGGAGGCCCTATGTCTAAAAATCTCAACTAGGGTATTGGAGCCCTATGTTGGCAAAAGGCTAATAGGGAATGGAGGCCCTATGTCTAAAATCTCAACTAGGGATTGGAGCCCTATGTTGGCAAAAGGCGACTAGGGAATGGAGGCCCTATGTCTAAAATCTCAACTAGGGATTGGAGCCCTATGTTGGCAAAAGGCGACTAGGGAATGGAGGCCCTATGTCTAAAAATCTCAACTAGGGATTGGAGCCCTATGTTGGCAAAAGGCGACTAGGTAATGGAGGCCCTATGTCTAAAAATCTCAACTCTGGGATTGGAGCCGTAATGTTGGCAAAAAAGGCGACTAGGGAATGGAGGCCCTATGTCTAAAAACTCAACTCAGGGATTGGAGCCCTAATTTTGGCAAGAAAGGCGACTAGGGAATGGAGGCCCTACGTCCAAAATCTCAACTCAGGGATTGGAGCCCTAATGTTGGCAAAAAAGTAGACTAGGGAATGGAGGAACTCAGGGATTGGAGCCCTAATGTTGGCAAAAAAGGCGACTAGGGAATGGAGGCCCTATGTCTATAATCTCAACTCAGGGATTGGAGCCCTAATGTTGGCAAAAAAGGCGACTATGGAATGCGGGCCCTATGTCTAAAAACTCAACTCAGGGATTGGAGCCCTAATGTTGGTAAAAAGGAGACTAGGGAATGGAGGCCCTATGTCTAAAAATCTCAACTAAGGATTGGAGCCCTATGTTGGCAAAAGGAGACTAGGGAATGGAGGCCCTATGTCTAAAAATCTCAACCAGGGATTGGACCCCTCTTTTGGCAAAAGGCGACTAGGGAATGGAGGCCCTATGTCTAAAAATCTCAACTAGGGATTGGAGCCCTATGTTGGCAAAAGGCGACTAGGGAATGCAGGCCCTATGTCTAAAAAGGCACAACTCAGGGATTGGACCCCTCTATGTTGGCAAAAGGAGACTAGGGAATGGAGGCCCTATGTCTAAAAATCTCAACCAGGGATTGGAGCCCTATGTTGGCAAAAGGCAACTAGGGAATGGAGGCCCTATGTCTAAAAAAATCTGAACTATGGATTGGAGCCCTATGTTGGCAAAAGGCGACTAGGGAATGGAGGCCCTATGTCTAAAAATCTCAACCAGGGATTCGAGCCCTATGTTGGCAAAAGGCAACTAGGGAATGGAGGCCCTATGTCTAAAAAAATCTCAACTAGAGATTGGAGCCCTATGTTTGCAAAAGGCAACTAGGAAATGGAGGCCTTATGTCTAAAAAAATCACAACTAGGGATTGGAGCCCTATGTAGGCAAAAGGCGACTAGGGAATGGAGGCCCTATGTCTAAAAATCTCAACTAGGGATTGGAGCCCTATGTTGGCAAAAGGTGACTGGGGAATGGAGGCCCTATGTCTAAAAATCTCAACTAGGGATTGGAGCCCTATGTTGGCAAAAGGCGACTAGGTAATGGAGGCCCTATGTCTAAAAAAATCTCAACTAGGGATTGGAACCCTATGTTGGCAAAAGGCGACTAGGGAATGGAGGCTCTATGTCTCAAAATCTCAACAAGGGGTTGGAGCCCTATGTTGGCAAAAGGCTACTAGGGAATGGAGGCCCTATGTCTAAAATCTCAACTAGGGATTGGAGCCCTATGTGTGCAAAAGGTGACTAGGGAATGGAGGCCCTATGTCTAAAATCTCAACTAGGGATTGGAGCCCTATGTTGGAAAAGCGTAAAAATAGAGATTGGGGTCCTAAGCTACCATTGTTTTTTTTTTTGAATTTTCTTCTTATCCTTTTTTCATTTCAATTTCCCTTTTTTATTTCACGGAACGAGTGAATGCGGGAAAAACTTGGAGGGGACTTCCCTTTTTCTGGATTGTTGCTGCAAAGCTGTTTCTAGCATTTGCGCACTTCTTTTTCCTTTTTAGTTGCACCTGCTTCTTGCACGGTTGCTTTGGATTGCTCCTGTTTCAAATTTTCAAACAAAGAACAATTGTTAGTTTTAAACGGTGGTTGGTTTTGTGGCCTTGATTGTTTTTGATCACTTGATCTCGGCCCAACTTTTTGGCGAAAACCTCTGCTACTTGCTGGCTTTCCTGAAGATTGATCTCTCTCCTAAAATCGAGGAACTCAAATTTCCACACTTTCCAGATGACGGTTTAACCATGTGGGGCTTTGGTCTTTTCACCTTATTCTGCCTCTAGGGGCTTTTCACTTTGGATTTCTTTTATTTTCAATAACTGTGATTTCAGAGCATCGGCCATCATGGCCAGTCGGGATCAACTTGATGCACCCGCTTAGGCTGGGTACTTTTCTTTGGACTTGGCTTTTATTAAGCAGAACCCTGTAAAACCAATCTTGCCACCTTTTCTTTGTATTAGTTTCGGAACATAGTCATACCGAAATGGATTCAAGGAAAAGTAAACAAAATACGAGAAATTGAATTTAAGGAGAAGTGTCCCTTTCGGGGAGGAAATAAGGACTTATCTGGAGTGCATGCAGACTTCAATAGACATGACATGCTTCTTGGACTGGATGTCCGACCTGCATAACTATCCAACTTCTCATAAACCTATTTCGACTCATGTTTTAAAACCGAGAAACCTTGTCAGGACTCTTTGAGTGCCAATGGTGGTAAGGAGTTTCTTCTTTTCGATCGACGGCGCCCTTTGCGGGGTTTCGCCAACCGACCTCTCTCGTTTCTCTTCTCACCGTCGCCTTATAGTGCTCTTTACGAGTTTTCACTAACAAGACTCTCTCATTTTCAGTTTCTCTACTCATCATCGCCTTACGGTGCCCGTAGGTTTTCACCAATAAAACTCTCTCATTTTATTTCTCTCATCTTGATTGCATCAGATCCAGACAATTGCGTTCTCTGATTTTGAAAACCTTTCACCGATTGATCGGAAGGACTTGAACAAGGTTTGGGTAAAAAGAATTTGGATCGAACCATAACTTTGGAACCTTTCAGGCGAGATCATCGCCGAACCATTATAACATCTGCCCCAGTTTCACTTTTTGGGGGAAATTGGATTTTTTGTTTTTGTGTGACTGAACCCCAGAGAGAGGCTGCCTACGTATCCTTTCGGAATCAAGTCGAACATAGTTCAGGGAAACATTTTGTTTTTTTTTTCTTTCTTCTTTTTTTTCTTTTGTTTTTTTTCTTTCTTTTTTTTATTACCAACGTCTCAAGTTCCAAAGAGGGTAATGAAAGAAAGGTAACCGGCTCAAAGGGTTAGCAAAGGATTGGAGTGTTTGGGGTAGCGAGAATGAAAACCTTCGTCCTCCCAATTGGATAATGTTGCTGCTGCAGAAAGACTAGACATAGTACCTTTTAACTGCGTCTGCATTTACAGCTGTTTCGGGGTCATTTCCTTCGATGTCTCCCAGGTATAACGCCCTTTTTGGCAACAATTTTCTGATAATGTATGGGCCTTTCTAGTTAGGAGCAAACTTTCCTTTTTCTTCCTGATGATGGGGGAGAATACGCCTTAAAACGAGTTGTCCCACTTCAAAGTTTCTAGGCCGCACTTTCTTGTTATAGGCACGGGCCATTCTTTGTTGATACAACTGCCCGTGGCAGACTGTGGCCATTCGCTTTTCATCGATCAGGGTTAATTGTTCCAGACGGGTTTTGACCCGCTCACTGTCTTCAATTTTAGCTTCAACAATGATCCGAAGAGAAGGGATTTCAACTTCCGCGGGTATTACGGCTTCAGTGCCATAAACCAAAAGATACGGGGTTGCTCCGACCGATGTGCGCACAGTAGTGCGGTATCCCAACAATGCAAACGGCAACTTTTCATGCCATTGCCTGGAACTTTGGATCATCTTTCTCAGAATCTTTTTGATGTTCTTTTTTGCTGCTTCGACGGCACCATTGGCTTTGGGCCGATAAGGAGTAGAATTTCGATGCGTGATCTTAAACTGCTCACATATCTCCCTCATCAAGTGACTATTCAGGTTTGCGGCATTATCCGTGACGATAGTTGCAGGAATACCGAAACGGCAGATGATATTGGAATGTACAAAGTCTACCACAGCTTTCTTGGTGACAGATTTGAGAGTAATTGCTTCAACCCACTTTGTGAAGTAGTCAATAGCGACCAATATGAATCTATGCCCATTTGAAGCTTTTGGCTCGATCGGCCCAATGACGTCCATGCCCCAGGCAACAAATGGCCAAGGTGCCGACATGGGATGCAGTTCTGTAGGTGGTGCATGAATCAAATCACCATGCACCTGACATTGATGACATTTCCGGACGAAACTGAAGCAATCTTTTTCCATAGTCATCAGTAATAACCCGCTCGGAGGATTTACTTCGCCAACACGTACCCATTCATATGAGGTCTGCACACTCCTACATGCACTTCATACATGATTCTTCCGGCCTCTTCGGCGTCAACACATCTTAACAAGTTGAGATTTGGAGTCCTTTTGTATAAGACCTCGCCACTCAAGAAGAAACCGCTTGCGAGCCGTCTAATGGTTCTCTTTTGATCTCCATTGGCTTGTTCCGGATATTCCTTTATTTTCAGAAACATCTTGATATCATGGTACCATGGTTGTACATTTGGCTCCACCTCAACTGTGTTGCAATAACCATGCCTTTCTCGGATTTGAATTTCTAGCGGGTCAATGTGGAGATTGCCCGGATACGGCAACATTGAGGCCAAGGTAGCGACTGAGTCGGCTAACTCATTGTGAAATCGGGGGACGTACCTGAACTCAACGGATTTGAACCGTTTGCTAAGATCTTCCACATATTGCATGTATGGTATAAGCTTAACATCCCGAGTTTCCCATTCTCCTTGAGCCTGTCGGATAATTAGGTCCGAATCTCCCATAATTACCAACTCTTTCACATCTTGATCAATTGCCATATTCATACCCATAATGCAGGCTTCATACTCGGCAGTGTTGTTTGTGAAGAAGAACCGAAGCCGAGCTGTGGCTGGATAGTGCTGACCAGTGGGCGAGATCAAAATTGCCCCAATCCCGACACCTTTTGCGTTCACCGCTCCATCGAAGAACATTTTCCAAGCATTGGCGTCTTCCGAAATTACCTCAACAGAGCTTACTTCCTCGTCCGGAAAGTAGGTACTCAAAGGCTGATATTCATCATCAACAGGGTTTTCAGCCAGGTGATCTGCTAGGGCTTGAGCTTTCATTGCTGTGCGAGTGACATAGACTATGTCAAATTCAGTGAGCAGGATCTGCCATTTTGCTAACCTCCCTGTGGACATTGGCTTCTGGAATATGTATTTCAGAGGATCCAACCTGGTAATGAGGGAAGTGGTGTAGGCTAGCAAGTAATGCCTCAGCTTCTGAGCAACCCAAGTTAGAGCGCAACAAGTCCTTTCCAACAGGGTATATTTGGCTTCATAACTTGTGAACTTTTTTCTCAAATAGTAGATCGCCTGCTCTCTTTTCCCGGTCACGTCATGTTCTTCGAGGACACATCCAAAAGAATTCTCCAAGACTGTCAAATACAGAAACAAAGGCCTCACAGGTTCAGGTGGGACCGAGACTAGCGGGTTCGACAGGTATTCTTTGATTTTGTCAAAGGCTTCTTGACACTCATCCATCCATTTGACTGCTGCATCTTTCTTTAACAGCTTGAAGATGGGTTCACATGTGGAAGTCAATTGATCTATGAATCGGCTAATGTAGTTCAACCTTCCCAGCAGGCTCATGACCTCTTTCTTGGTTCTTGGAGGAGGCAAATCCCGAATAGACTTTATCTTTGTTGGGTCTAGCTCGATGCCCCTCTAACTGACTATAAATCCCAAAAGCTTCCCAGATGGGACTCAAAATGCGTATTTAGCTGGGTTTAGCTTCAAATCATACTTGCGCAGATGCTCAAAGAACTTCCTCAGATCTCGAACATGGTCATCTTGTGTTTTGGTAC